GTGCAAAAGAGCTTCCTAGCCCTGCTTCCCAGTCATCTGTCTGTGAAGGAGAGGTGCAAAGGACTTGAATGGGCTTTGAAACTTCCCTGCTGCTTTGTGATGTGCTGAGGAGGCCGGGACGCTTTCGGCGTGTGCTTGTGTGTGTGCTGTGCTTGCTCGTTTACAGGGGGTGTGGCTCTGCCCGGGCCACCCGGCTGGCAGCAGGGGGACAGGGGCAGCCCGGGAGGCCCAGCAGATCCTGGCAGGGGCTTCTCCGTGATTGGAAGTGAGACCAAAGTCTTGGCCTTAGCGCTGGGCTTGGCTCGGGGGAGAGGATTTCTTTGTTAAGCTTTCCTATAATGCAAGTCCTCCTCTCCAGTGCTGGGGGAGGAAGAAGAGGAGGAGGAAGGCTTGCCTGCTTTTTGTTGATAGCTGTTATAAATAAGGAAGCAGAAACACCATCCTCTCTAAAGCAGACCAGGAGGACTTTTGAGTCTTCTCTTTACCCAGAGCAGAGGGAGGCAATGAAATTGGATCTGTTGAGCCTGTGGGGTTACCCTGTGGTTCTGACCTGAGCAGAGCCATGCAGCTGATGCTGGGCTGGGCAGTGAGGTGTGAATGATGCTGCCTATGGGGAGCTGAGCTTGCTTGTATGCCTGGGGTGGGCTGGGACTGATGGTGGAGACCTGGTGAGAGCAGTGCCAGCCTCAGTCCCAGCACAACCTGTAAGCACTTTGTAGCCTGAGTAGATGTGAAAACCCTGCCGTGTGGATTCATCTTTCTAGCACATACCCTGTGCTGGCACTGATGCTCCCTAGCTCTGATGCCAAATCGTCTGTGATATGTAAGCGTCTTTGGGTGATATTTTTGGGAAGGAGTGCTACAGCACACAGTATTCTTTGTGTCACAGCAGGACTCCTGCCTTGGGAGTCTTACAAGAACAAATATTTGTCTGTTGTAGGTCCCACGCTTGGCTTTTCTGTGTTGTGCGTTTTGGTTTTGCATTAACCCATTAAGACTTGTAGATTAGAAGCACTGACACTTTTGGTCCTTCATAGGTTACAAAAAGGGCTTGAGGCACTCCGAGATCCTGTACTGAAAGGGCTTAATCAGTCATCAGACTGGACTGGCCAGGAGAAGGTGTTTCACAGTGTCAGGGACAGCAGCCACATGCCCTGGAGGATGCTGTGGTGGGCAGCATCCCTTCCCCCAGAGCACACTTTGCTCCCGTGGCTGCAGTCAGCTGCTGCCCTGGGGCAGGCAGAGGCTGCTTCCCAGGGATTCCCAAACCCATGCACCCAGCACAGGCTCTCCCTCGTGATGGGTACAGTGTGAAACAGCCTTGTTCAGAGAGTCATCAGTGCATTCTGGCCTGTGGTCTTGCTCCCAGTTTTGTGAGGAGGAAAGCCCTTGTGGACAGCTGCCTGAACCATCCCTGACCTTCCCTGGAATAATACCTGAATTACCTTGCAGTTTACTGTTTGCATCTGCTGATGCTGCACTTGCTGGAATCCTGCACTTAAAAAGTTCCTCTTGATTTTTTGCCCTGTGTGTGGTGTGTCAGGAGATCCACTGTCTGTAGCATTTCATGAGTCTGAGTTGCTCTCTGTGCTGGTATATAGTCCTGTCTACCGTGGCCCTTACCAAACTCCCTCAGAAAGGACCAATCTCTGAATTCTTCTGTTGCCTTTGAGATGGTGGGCTTGCCAGGAGAAAGGAAAAAAAAAAATCCCAGAATGAGTTTTAAGGTGTGATTTGCTGATCAGATTTTTCTGGGAATGATGCTACTTTGGTGTACATAGCTGTTCAGAAGCCATTGCATACGTGAGGTGTGTGATTCATTGCTTTTAATTTATCTGTCCTTTTAGTGAAGCACCTTTTAGTGTCTGGGAGGAATGGAATGATTAACTGGCTGAGGGTTTTTCCTATGTGGAGAGCAGTGTTTAGGGTATGGTTGGGTCTTGGCTGACCTCCTGAGCTCTCTGTTCCTGCTGTCCCTGCAGGTTCAGCCAGGGGTCAGAGAACTTTGTTCCAGACATGCACATGTTGAATGGCACCATGTCAGCAGCCCTGAGCTGGCAGGAGCAGACCCCAAAGCTCCTGCCCTGCTGAGTGCCAGCCCAGGTGGGGCCACAGGGAACTTCCCTGGGTGCAGGATGTGAGGTCTGTCACCTACAGCAGCACTGGCACAGGGAGATGCTGGGATGCAGGAACTTAAATGTGTTTAAAGTTCTCAAATGCATTTGTCTGGGACTGTGAGCTGCTCTGTCATCTTTCAAGCATGACTTATTCAGTCAGAATTCTTTAAACTAAAGATAGGGCTGTGCCAGGATTGATCTTCAGAGAGGAGCTACAGCCTGTTCCTGCAGTATGGCAGCTCTTCCACCAGAATTTGACTGGGGTTTAGTTCAGCTTCTTTAACAGGGGCTAAGTAAAACCTCATAATACAGACTCCTGCTACCAGGCATTTTTCTCCAGATGTTCCTTGACCAGGCTTGAGCACTGAGCTGGGTAAAAATCCCAAAGCTGCTTTTCTTTATATTCCTCCTGGCAAGAGTTGAAGATGTTGGTTGAGCTCTGTCCTGTCACTGGATCCACCCTTCTGCAGGCTGTGGGGTACAGGGAGGTTTAGAAGCATTGTATTGTTATTCCTCACGCTCTGCCTTCAAAGACTTTTTCTATCAAGATGAAGCTCACTCTGGTGTCTCAGCGACCTGTTGGTGTCTTGGCATGAGTTTTAGCCCTGCTAAAACCTTTGAGTTCCTTAACTCCAGATTGTATGTGAAGTGTGCATGGCGATTTAGTCCAAGGTGTCTGTCGTGGTGTGTCTGGGATGGGCCTGGCTTTCCTCATCTCCAGATTCCTGCCTGCTTGAGGTGCTGCACAAGTGTTGAGGCTTTCCACTCAGATGCTCGCTGGGTTTCCTGGTCTGTGCTGCTCCTCCTGATAACCTTCGGTGTAGCACCAACCTGCACAGTCCTACCCTAGTCACAGGGTAACTGGTGTTTAAATCACTGGCCAAAGCACAAGTCAGCTCTAATCTTAGCTGTACTCCTGCTTTTATTCTCCCTGGTCTTCAGCCTTGTAACAGCACAGCCTGAGCACCGTGTTGTAGCCAGGCTCTTTCCAGAGGGTTCAGTACACTTCCTCCTGCTGTGCCGGATCCTGTAACCACGTGCCTCCCTTCGGGTTAGATGTCAACTGTTGTACCCCGTCACGCACCGTTGCTGAGCAGATGTGTGCTTGATACAGGTGATTAATAAACGATGCTTCAGTACGAGCTGCTTGTCCAGCCTGCCCTTCTTGGGGGACACTGAAACGCCACAGAGCTGAGCAAGTTCTCTGTCCCCAAGCACCAGGGCCTCAGTCTGGGGGGACAGGGCTGTGACCCAGCCGTGGCAGTGTTGGTGTTTGTGCTTGGCAACCGTGGCTGTCAGAACTCCTTCCAGTTCCAGTGAGGGGGCTCGTAGCTGTGGGATGGAGGGGGCTGTTAACATTATTATTAGATTTTGATAAAGCAAGTTCATCTAAGGAGGGACATTTCACCACAGCTGTTGGCTCAGCAATAGGACAGCTGTTGTCAGGGGATGTGCAAAGTACCCCTGCAAAGTATCACTTGGCATTACCATCGAGTTCCCCCTCCCTGAGGATTTCCAGGGAGCCTGGATGTTCTGTCTCCCCTCTGCTTCCCCACTCCGCTCCATCCCCCTTAGCGTGTGTGTGTATGGGAAATCATCTTGGAATGCGTTTCAAGTCCTGCCAGCCGCCTTCCATCCAAGGAGCCGTAACTGCGATTTACCCTGTAATTCCCGTACAGTTATAATTCCTATTAGGACACTAATAAAAACCTTCACTTTCCTCTAACTGTACTCCCAGTTAGCTGTGCACAGCGTCCCCAGCCATCCTCCACAGGCCGGGGTGGCCTCAGCCTGGCCGGACCCATTGTGTCCCCTCCCTGTCACTCGGGGCTCGGCTTCTTGCGGCAGCCCCGCTGACTCACACCCCACAGGGGCGCGTCCAGCCTGGCGTGAGCCTTCCCAGAATGACGGTAGCCGGGGGCGAGCCGCCTGCTGACGCACAGCCTGCCCGGGGGATGCTGCGGCTTGCACAACACCCGGGGTGACACTGCCCCGTCCCGGCACCGCGCCTGGCAGGGCTCCAGGGGCGCTTGTGCTCATGCTGCGGCTGCCGGGGGTGTCCTGTGCGGGGCCGGGGGCTGCGCTCCGTGCCTCTGAGCGTCCCTCCCAATTCAGCGCATCCCGTCAATTCAGGGATGCCGCGCCCATGACGGCACCAGCGGCGCGTGTGTCAACGCTGTTACGCCTCGGGGCCGGCCGCGGGGCCCGGCTGGGCGGGTCGCTCCTCCGCATGGCCCGGCCCGCTCCTTCTGGGGCGCATTTGGGGTTTTTCGCTCCCCGCTCGGCGCCGCCGGGGCCGCTCGCTGACGTGGCGCGAGTTGCCATGGCAGCTAGGGGGGCGCGCCCGCGCCGCGGCGCTCGCTTCGATTGGCCGCGGCGCCGCCCCTCCCCGGCTCCCATTGGGTGGTTGCGCCACCACGTGCTGCAGGGCGCGCCCATTGGCCGGCGGGGACTATAAAGGGCGGCGGGGGCCGCAGCCGCCCGGTGGCGGGCGGGATGGAGGCGGTCGGGGTCGGTGGGGACGCGGCGCCGGCGGCGCTGCGGGAGCGGTTGGCGGCGGCCGGGCAGGACCATGTGCTGCGCTTCTGGCCCGAGCTGGACGGCGAGGCCCGCCGGGCGCTGGAGGACGAGCTGTGCGACATGGACATGGACGAGATCAACCGCTTCTTCCTCCGTGCCCGCGGGGACGGCGGCGGGGCGGCGGCGGGGCTGGACGCGCGCATGGAGCCGGTGCCGCGGGACGTGCTGGGCAGCGCCTCCCGCGACCGCGGGCTGGTGCCGCGCTGGGAGAGCCGCGGTAGGTGCGGGGCTCGGCGGGGCTCGGCGCGGCGCGGGGCCGGCACGGAGGGCCCCACGCGTGTGTGCTCCCTCCCGCAGGGCTGGCGGAGATCGCCGCGAGCCGCGTGGCCGTGCTGCTGCTGGCCGGCGGGCAGGGCACCCGCCTCGGCGTCCCCTACCCCAAGGGCATGTGCGACGTGGGGCTGCCCTCCCGCAAGACCCTCTTCCACCTGCAGGCCCAGCGCCTGCGGCGGCTGCAGCAGATGGCGGAGGAGCAGCACGGCACTGCCTGCCACATCCCCTGGTGAGCCCGGCTCGGGGCGGTGTGGGCAGGGTGCAGCGGGCACTGATGGGTCCGGGCCAGGTACATCGGCACAGCGCTCTGGTTGCCAGCTGTCCGCAGCCCTCGGGCTTGGTGCAGTTCCCTTTGGCAGCCCGAGGTTAGTCTGGATTAGCGTAGTTCTTCTTAGTGGCCCCTGGGCTGATGCCGAGCCCCTCCAAGGACCATGGACTGGCATAGCCCCTCTTGATGCCAACGCTTTGCAATGGGCATGGCCTCTTAGAGTGAGTGGCACAGAGTGGCACTGGCAGGTCCCACGTTGTCAGACTCAAGTGTCACGGCCCTTGGGAGAGGCTTTCGTGTTCCCACGATAGGGAGATGAGCTGCTGAGGTGCTTTGTAGACAAGGCAGGAGCTGTCATTGGAGCACGTGGGTGTCCCATTCACAGTGTTGTACAGTTTTGGAGATACGTGTTGCAATAGGGGTGAAACCCTTTATTGGCTTGTCAGAAGGGTGGGACCACAGCAGGTCAGATCCTCCCCGGTGTGGAGGGGGAAAAAGCCTGTCCTGGGTGTTGCCCACATTTGGGGTGAGGGGTGTGAGTCCTGCCTCTCCTCCCTGCTCATTGGGTGTCTTCTGCTCTGTGACAGGTACATCATGACAAGTGGCCGCACCATGGAGTCCACCAAGGAGTTCTTCCAGAAACATCGGTACTTTGGCTTGAAGAAGGAGAATGTCATCTTCTTCCAGCAGGGCATGCTGCCTGCCTTGGGATTCGATGGGAAAATCCTGCTGGAGGAGAAGGGCAAGATTGCTATGGCACCAGGTTGGTGGCCAGGGTTGAGACATGGTGCTGAGGAGCAGCTTTTGCAGACTGTGAGCTGGCCCATGGCTAGCTCGGGCTGGGAGGTGTCTGTCTGGGCAGGGAGGACCAGGCTGGGGTGTGGCTGGGCTGGTGCCTCTCCACATCATCCCATGAGGAAGGAGTGTGGGTGGCTGAGGGGCAGCAGGGCGTTGCTGCAGCCCCAGTGGTGTGTTCCCTCTGCAGATGGCAACGGGGGCCTGTACAGGGCCCTGGGCTCCCACGGCATCATGGATGACATGGAGAGGAGAGGGGTGCAGAGTGTCCATGTCTACTGCGTGGACAACATCCTGGTGAAGGTGGCTGACCCCAGGTTCATCGGGTTCTGCTTGGAGAAGGGAGCAGACTGTGGGGCCAAGGTATGCTTTAGGGAGTAGGCACTGCTTCTGCAGAGCTGCCTGGGGTCTGTCCTGCTCCTTGCCTGGCTTCCCTGGCTTTTCACCCTTCATTTGCTGGCTTGCCACAACCAGGAGGGATAGCTGAGTACCTGGAGCTCACTGGTGAAGTAACACATGCTGCTTGGGAGCCCTGTGTAGCTGCCTGGCACACACCTGGATGCTGGGCAGCTCTTTTCTGGGTGGCTGTGGCTAGCACAGGCAGACAGGATCCTTGCCATAAGCTAACATCCTGGTCACCAGACCAGGACACGGTGGATGCAGCTGACACTGAACCCAGCCCCATGTCTTGTGGGTAGGACATTGCACACTTAAAGCTTTACTTAAAGACAGGCTTGACAGCCAAAGGTTTTGTTTGCAATGGGGTTTGGCTCTGGCAAACAGGTGAAAGGATTTAATGGCCTTGTAACTTTCAGAGAGTAAGCTGAGAAAGGGAATGCAGTTTCTCCTCATGAAAGAAAGAGGAAGTAAACCTTAGAATGCAGAAAGAAGAAAGCCCTGTGCCCCTGCATGCCACCACTCTGTGGTGACAGAGGTGGGCAGGGATTTGCTGGGGTGTCCCACACACAGATGGAGGTGTGTGAGATGCAAGGAGAAGAGGAAGGTCAGGGGGATGGCTCTGCTGAGCCAGCAACCTTCTGGTTGTGCATGGCTAAAAATACCTGTGCCAGCTGCACGTTGGCTTGGTGCCACATCCTGCTGTGCCCTCTGGGTGTGTCTGACACCTGTCACCTAGCCTTGCTTCCTCTAGTCCCCATGGCCATAGGCACCTGGGAGGGCAGGGCTCCAGCATCCCCATCCCTGCTTACAGGGGAGCGTGTTCGAGGTGTGGGGCTTTGTGCGCCTTTCCTGACAGTGCTTCCCCCGGGCAGGTGGTGGAGAAGACCAACCCCACGGAGCCGGTGGGCGTGGTGTGCCGGGTGGATGGCGTCTACCAGGTGGTGGAGTACAGCGAGATCTCCCTGGCCACCGCCCAGAGGCGGGGCCCGGAGGGGCGGCTGCTCTTCAACGCGGGCAACATCGCCAATCACTACTTCAGCACTGCCTTCCTCAAAGACGTGGTCAAGTAAGGGTGCTGGAGTGCTGCTGCCCAGCCAGAGCTGGCTGTGCCTTGCTTTCTGCTGGGATGCTGGGATGAGGCCCCCAATGGCTGCCCCTTCCTGGAGAGAAGGTTTCTGCCATGCTGCTTCCAGAGTGCAGGCATGTGGGGCTGTCTCTCCTGGCTGCTGTGGGGATGAGCAGCCCATGCCGTGGGGCAGCTGGGGTCAGAGCAGGGCAGCCATCCTGCTGCAGCAGTGTCTGAGCTGGGGACGTGGCTTGCTCAGGCAAGTGACATCTCTTTCTTGGCCCCTTGCAGCACTTATGAGCCACAACTGCAGCACCATGTGGCTGAGAAGAAGATCCCACACGTGGACATCACTACAGGGCAGCTCATCCAGCCCGAGAAGCCCAACGGGATTAAGATGGAGAAGTTTGTCTTTGACATCTTCCAGTTTTCCAAGTATGTCCTTTGCTCTCTCGGGGTCCAGGCTGGCTGCTGGCTCTTCCTGGGGCAGCTCTGAGAGCCTCTGGGGCTGTGCCAGGGTGTGCTCACTGGTGATGTCCGGGGATCAGGATGGGATGGGTGCTGTGGGGAAGTAGCCCCAGTTCCCAAAGGTGACCCTCCCATGCTGTGTTCCCCAGGAAGTTCGTGGTGTACGAGGTGCTGCGTGAGGATGAGTTCTCTCCCCTGAAGAATGCAGACAGCCAGAATGGCAAGGACAACCCCACCACAGCCCGCCATGCCCTCATGTCCCTGCACCACTGCTGGGTTCTCAATGCAGGGGGGCACTTCGTGGATGAGAATGGCACACGCATCCCTGCCATCCCTCGGTGAGCTGCTTCTCCTGTCACTCCTGCTCCTTTCTGGGCTGGATATTGAGCACAAGGCAATCCCAGTGTCACAGAAGCAGCCAGCTGTGGGTCCCCTCTCCTGGGTGATCTGTGGAGCAGAGCTGGGTGTGAGCTGTGTGCTGGCAGCAGGAGTGGTGCTCAGTCAGCAGCAGCTTTCCTTCCCAATTCAACACCTGGGAACTGAATCCTGTCAAGATTGAAGAGGAGGTGGCTCCCTAAAGCCACCAGCAGATCCATGCAGCAGCCAGGCTGGCATCAACATACCCCTCACCCACAAGAGCTCCTGCCACCCTCTCTAGAGATCAGCAAACCCCAGCCTGGTTTGGCTCTGTTTCCCCCCTTGCTAACCCTTGTTTATTCCCGTGTAGCCTCACAAACGGAAGGTCAGCTGCCAGCCCAGCAGATGTCAATGACAAGTAACTATCCCTGTCCCAGGTGCATGGTGGTGGGGCTGTGCTTAGGGACTAACGGGCTGCAGGCAGGGCAGTGTGCCAGGCTAACGGGGCTGGGGGCTGGTGGCCGCATGTGGGCAGTGGGGCATGTCACCCCTGGGCATGGGGACACTGCTTCTCGTGGTGGTGGGCACGGGCAGCTCTGCTCGCTGCTGGGCTCCTTTCCTCAGGGATAACTAGATGGATGGGGCTCATGCTGCTGGTACAGGTGCAGGGTGGTAGCAGCCCCCAAAGATCACCCTGCGGGCAGGACACTGTTGGCAAATGCCCTGCACGTCCTTTGCCACTCCCTGTTTGTCACAGCGTGGCAGGGACTGGTCCCAGCCAGTCCCAGAGCTGGGGATGGCTGCCACCTCCCCATGTCCACCAGGCGTTCAGGCAGATTATCCCAAAATGGGATTAAAAACCATGAAGCAAACATCAGGCAGGCTTTGATGTAGCATGTGTGAGTCTGAGCACAGCAGCCAGCTGGGCTTTGTGTGACTCCAGCTCTTGACTTTGGAGGATCCAGAGTGTGACAGCAGGGAAAGCCCCTGGCTCAGTGCTGCAGAGTTTACAGGAATACACAGGGAGCTTTAACTCTTCCCTTATGTTCTGTAGGCACAGGCCTGCTGGGACTTGGAGCTGGTGAGTGTAAATGACTCACAGAATAAGCAATCTTGTTACCTTCCCCTCCTTCAGAAGCTGTATCTTCAGGTACTTTCTGGTGGAATACAGCTGTTTTATCTCTGTTTTAATTCCAGACTACATGTTTTCAGGCTTATGACTGAGCCATCACACTAGTTAACATGTAGGAGAAAGGATGCACCTTGTATTACATTTACCCTTCATTACCAGTTATTTTCAATTTTTTTAAACAACTGTCTTGAATCTAACACTCAAGGTAAATAGCAGTGTGGGTAGGGATGGGTGAGTTTTATTTACTGACACTTGGGACAGGAGAGGGCTGAGTGAGTGTGTGGCAGCAGGAACGAGCTTTGCCTCCCTGGGTGAAGGGAGCGTGGTCATGGATGGCATCCTGGGGCACCTCCAGGGACCATCCAAGCATGTCCTTGGCATGGTGGCAGGAGGAGCAGGGTCAGGGACCCCACACGAGTCCCTGCCCATCAGTGCTGCTGCAGTGGGCAGCACTGGTGTGGTTCTGACATTTTGCTCTCCAGCTGACAGGCAGAACAGAGGAGCCAAGGTAGTTGATCTAACAAGCAAAGGCAGGAGGAGCAGACAGTGCTGCAGGGGGTGTTTGAGTGAGCAGAAGGGCTTGCCCTCTATCCCCAGGGTGTGCTTTAAGCAAGAGAGGGCTTAAAGCAAGATGTCCTGTGTCCAGCCAAACAGGAAGGTGCTCTGTGTGTGCATCTCACATCACTCTAGGGCTGCAGGAGGAGAAGGAAAGGGTCACTCGTTTCCATGTGGCAGCAAAGCCAGCAGCGCTGGGGGCACAGGCCCTGCTGTAGTTACACACATGGAAAGGCATCATGAAAGCCCCATCTAAAGCTCTTTTCCCTTTCAGTCGCTGCTGGGATCTAAACTTGAGCTGGCACCTCTGTGGAGAGCACACAAGGCTTGACTAACCCAGGGCAGCTCTGCCTGGTGGGAACTGTGTGGCCCTGACAGCCCTGATTCTCCACCTGGCTTGGGCAAATCTTGGGCCCCATCTGTGTCCCCCCAGGCTGCACCTAACTCTGGGTGTTTCTTTCTGCAGCTTGAAGGATGCAAACGACCTGCCAATCCAGTGTGAGATTTCTCCCCTCGTGTCCTACGGAGGAGAAGTGAGTACTAGCTCTGCAGAGCCCTTGCAGAGGGATGGGGCTGGCAGGGCACACACGAAGTGACTCTGATTCACTGGGGAGCTTTGTGGGGCACTGGCCCCCAGATTTCCAGCACGGGGGAGGAGCAAAGGCAGCTCAGCAGAGCAGCTGATGGTGCAGGGTGTTCCTAATGACCCCTCTCGTTCTGCAGGGTCTGGAGCAGTATGTGAAGGACCGGGAGTTCCGCACGCCGCTGATCATCGACGAGGACGGGATCCATGAGCTGGTGCAGAACGGGCTGTAGGGGCAGCCTGGTGCCAGGCAGGGCTGCCCATCCCTCCAGGAACTCAGGCACACAGAGGTTGATGGTTGGGCCTAGCAGGGGCTGCTCCTGCTCATTCCAGCAGGATTTGACCCACTCGATTCCTGGCACGCTGTATGCTTCTATTTATATTTTAATTTAAAAACCAAACACTTCGGATTCCCCTGCCACAAGGCACAGCTATGGTGCTGCTCTTTGCACTTCAGGCTGTGGGCATTTATTTTTAAACATGTATATAGTAATAGTCATTGTACATGCACAGAGAGGATTTTTATGGTACGGGGCTGGGTTTAATCTTGAATTTTTATTTTTCTTAAATCTACACGACTATTTTTTTTTTTTAATAGGGTCCTTGCCATTGCCCATGTCCTCCCTTTTGGTCATCCTTTGTATATTGCACAACTGGAAGCACCCAATTAAACTGAGTCCCTCCTGTTTGTCATCTGGTGGTGTTTGAGTGACAGTGACTTTCCACCGAGAGGCTCATGGAGCAGGGAGCTGACTGCTCATGCCAAGTGCTCTGTTCAGTGCAGTGAGGGTGGCTGCAGGCAGGGCTCCAGCCTGCAGTGCTCATTTGGGGTGTTCCTGGAGGAAGCAGACAGTTGCACCCTCCTCTTACATTTCTGCAAGCAGTGGCAAGCCTTGAGCAGGTAGGAAGAGGCAGGTGTGTGGCGCTGCTGGAGTGCTCAGGGTGAAACCAGCCTGGCACTGAGCCCTCCACCAGTGCCCTCTGCTGTTCTGGAGGGGCTCTTTGGCTCCTGCATGAGCCCACTGCTCAGGAGTGAGGTGTCCTGACTGCCTCGGGCAGAGCAGCTGTGCTGCCTCCCCTCCTGTTTGGGAGGATGTAGAGCTTGGCCAGCTCCTCTCCTGACCCTGGTGTGGTCACAGCCTCCTGCTGCCCCGTGCCTGCCTGGGCAGGGTTTTCCCTTCCAGGCCTGGGAATGGGACCCAAACCACTCCCTGTGGGGGAACTCACCACATGCCCCTGGTGTAAAGGTGGCTACTGGGTTCCCTGGGCACTGTGCCTGAGCCACCAGGGCGGGGTGGGGGGTCCTGGCTGGCACTGTGCCTGCTGCTGGCTCGCCACAGGCTGCCTGGGCTGTGTGTGGCCGAGCCTTTGGCTTTCTGGCTTTGCAGACCACCACCTTTGCATTAGCTCCTGGGACAGAGCCCCCAGTGCTGGCTGCTGCCAAGTTATCTGAGCACCAATTCCAGGTAGCAGGAGGGGAGCGGAGCAGAGCTGGCTGGGGTTTGTGCTGGTGTGCACGTAGGGCAGCCTGTGCTTCTCCCTGCCAGCTGATCTGGGGCAGCACATGGGGCTCTGCTCCCTGCCAGCCCCGAGGGAGCTGTGCCCTGCCTCTGTCACCCTGGGCAGTGCTGCTGCTGCAGCCCCTCTCTTGTGGCAGTGACAGGGTCACCAGTGTCTGCTGGGGGCAGTGGGTGGCTTCCCCTGCCTGTGGTTTGGTTGGTTTGCCTGGAAAATTCAGGCTGGCAAAGAGATTGGTTTAGGAGCAAGGTAACAGCTCTAGGGCTTTGGGGTGTCTGGTGGGACAGGAAAGCCTTTTAGGGAGTTGCTGGCCTGCTGCCAGGGCTGCTGCTTCCTTCCCATAATGTGAGCGTGGAATTCAACACAGCCAAAACAGTTTATAAAATGATTTTTGAAAAAGTTCTTCAGTTGTGGTTTCTGCTGCTGCACGAGAGTTAATGTGAGCCCATTATTAGTATTATTGTTATTTTCTCACTGCGTAGCCGGTGGCCACTGTGCCAGGCTAGTGCCTGGAAACGGTGTCAAGCCAGCAGCTCTGGTGGGGCTGGGGCACTGAGCCCGTGCCCCGAGCCAGGCTGTGCTGTGCTGTGCTGTGCTGTGCTGTGCTGGCCACGTGTGCCCGTGCAGGAGCCCCAGATTGCTGCCCCAGGGGCCCGGACAGGGGCAGCCCATGTGGGACACTCTGGGCTCTGGTGGAGTGTCCCCATTCCCAGCGTTTTGGGGGTGTCCTACCCGGCCCCGCAGTGCAGGACGAGGGTCCTGGACACGCGTGCCATGCCACAGCCACGGGGCAAGCACTGGAAAGTGAAACGTTGCCTATTGCTTTAAGTTCCCCTGCTGGCCACGGGGACTTTTTTATTTTTTTCCCTTGCGCTATGAATGGGTTTTGCTGTAAATTATAGCTCTGCGCACGTTCCCTCCGGCCAAGGAAAATAACTCTGCTGAAAAGCCAGCCCAGCTCGCTGACTGGCTCCCCCTCTCTCCGCTCCCTAATTGAAACCAAATGTGCAAGATGTAGATGTAGGATTGTGGGATTTCTGGCCGGCTCCCAGGAATCCACAGAATGCGAGCGGGCTCCCAGAGACATCTTGCATCAGCCCGGGGAAGTTCTCTCCTCACCTGGCTCCCCCTGCCCGGGCGAGGGGCGAGGAGCCCACCCGGCCCCGGCCACCACCCCGCTCTGGTGAGTCCTGGGAACGTGTCTGGCCCTGCTGGGATTGGGATTTTGGGGGGATTCGGGTCAGGCAGCGGGGCTGGGGTGTGGGTCTGCCTGGGAAGGCTCTGGGGCGCAGCTGGGTGCTGTCCTCGCTCAGGGAGGTGACAACTGACCCCTCTTCCCCAGCTGACCCCCAGTGCCAGCGTTAGCCCCCGTGCCTTGTGCCAGGCCAGCGTTTCCTGGTGTCCCTCCTCAGCTCCCGCCCATGTGTGTGTTGGCAGAGCTGCTCAGCCAGAGAGGCCCTGCTGTCCCCAGGGTCCCCCAGCCGGACACCGGGTCACGCTGGGAAGGGCAGCACCAGGCCCTGGGTGGCCCCGGGGCGATGCTGCAGAGCCCAGAGCAGGGCTGGAAGCTTGGGGAGCCCTTGCTGGAGGCAGCACCCACGGGATGCTGTCCCCAGCCCCAGCTGTGCTCTAGAGGTGTCACCAGGGCATGGGGAGCCATGGGGACCTGCTGGCTGCTCCTCACACCCCAGCTCAGCCAGCCAGCCCAGGGCTGGGGAGGCGCTTGCTGCTGCAGAAAATGGGGTTGCATCCAGCCCAGAAAAAGTCTAAAATGGCATTTTTGGAAGGGAGGAGGACTACGGGTCCCGGCATGCTGCACTGTGCTCCCGCCAGCGGCACGGCACGCTGGGGGCTGTAGTCCTCCTCCCTTCCAAAAATGCGATTTTTGGGACAGGGGTCCTGAACCCCCTCATCCAAACACCCCTGGGCCGGGGTCACAGCCAGCCTGTCCTCACTCAGGGACCATCCCAGTGTCCCTGAGTCCACAGCAGCAGCCCCAGCCCCGTGTGAGGACAGGGGCTCTGCAGCAGGAGCCCTGGAAGTGTTGGCAGACTCGTGTCCAGCTGTGCACCAGGGGTGCAGGTTGCTGCCATCCAGCCCCCGCCCCAAGGATGATGCTCCTCCAGTGCCAGCAAAGGTGGCAGTGCCCACCTGGGCACCTCACCTAGTTGGGGACCCCACCTGGAACGGGCTGGCACCAACAGGGACCATGGTTCAGGTGAGGTTTGTCTCTTAACAAATGTGGGTTTAGTTTCCCCCCCAGTTAGTTCCCTTGGTTATTTCAGTAGGATAAGGAAGGAGGGAAATAAGAAGGGAAAACAACAAAAAAGCAGCAGCCAAGGGAAACTCGAAGCCTGGGCGATGCCAGGGAGGAGCTCCAAAAACTCTCTGCACTAAAACTTTCCAGTGATTGAAAATTCTCAGCAAACATTTTCAGTCAAAACTTTGCAGAGCCATCCTTTTTGCAGGGCTGGTGGAACAGAACTGATTTCCATCTGGGCTGCCAGCACTGCCTGTGTTTTTGACAGTGTGTCCCTTAGCCTTGTGGCCTGAGCCGCTGTCCCCACGCTGTCCCCTAGCCCCACACCCCTGAGGGGCAATGAGCACTTCCCAGTGGGGATAATTTCCCTATACCAGGCTAAATGTAAATGCATTCCCTGCAGGAGATTACAGCATCTGGTATCCTGATGCTTTAAAGAGTTTACTCAGCCTGAAAGAATAGTGGGGGAAAATATCCTTGGATATTTTTTGGAATGCCAAAGGAAATTAAGATTTTAATGTTGGGGGCAACTGGCCATCATCAAACACAGGAGCCTCCTGAGTGCCTCTCGGCAATGCAGCTGAAATTCCCAATTGCAGCTGAATTAATTGCAAGTAGCTACAGTTTCCCAGCTGGGAATAAGGGGGGAAAAGCTACCACATATGTGCTAAAAAAAAAAAAAAAAAAGAAAAAAAAAATTAGAAAAGGGAGGGCAGAGTCCCCCAGGTATGCAGCAGGGTGCTGTGGGGTGCAGAGAGCTTCCAGCAGAGTGCAGGTGGCAGCTCCTGACAAGGCTTTCCTCTCCCCTTGGGCACTGCTGTGGCCACAGCAAGCCCTGGTCTGGCTCCTGCCATGCCAAACTCTGGCTGTGGCAGCAGCCAGGGCTGTATCCAGCATCTCCCAGCTGGCTCTGTGGGATTTGGGAGGTTGCTCTGGCTGCTTTAGCCTTCCTCTTGGTGGTGGGGCCATGCAGGGACACCATCAGGCATTCACCTGCAGCCCCGGTGGTGCTGGGCTGGTTCAGGGATGTGCCAGCCAGGACAGGCATCCCTGGTGCAGGGGGCTTGGCTGGGATTTACCCCAGGAGCCAGGCCCATTTGGCCAGGAGCTGTGGTCCCTTTGACCCCCAGGTTAGTGGGTTGCTCTCTCAAAAACCCCACATAAACTAAAAACACACCATTTGTCTTTACTAAGTTAGCATCACCCTTGTTTGAGTGATGCCACTGTCTCAGTGGGTTGCTCTCTCAAAGGTTAATGTGTGTTTAAACTGAATTAAAACAGCTTTTTTAATAGAAAGAGAAGTGCTTTCATGGGGTGCTGGTGTGGGGTGTCCTCCTGGCAGATGAGGGTGCTCAGGCAGCCTGGGGCAGGGCTGGTGACGTTTAGGGTGTCCCTGGTGCTTCCCCTGGCATGGTGCCATGGTGGTCACCCCGAGGTGTGTGGGCACAGCAGGAGCTGCTCGGGCTCTGGGGGTTCCTGGCAGCTGAGGGCTGTGGTGACAGCCCTGACACAAGGGCAGACATGTCCTGGGAAGGTCCCCTTGTCCCCTCTGAGAAGCCCCAGCAGTACCAGCTCGTTTTGTCCCCATGCTGTGACCCAAGCCCCGTTCCCAGGTCCCTTCCAGCCCCATCCTATGGTCCCCTCGAGCAGAGGGTGCAAGCTGACACCCTGTGTCACGCCTGTCTGTGTCATCCATGGGATCCACTCTGCCATGGGGAGCTATCCCAGTAAATCCCCTGTAGATCTCAGGGGATAGCTGCTCTCCTCTCTGGAGCACCGTGCTATTATTGCCTTACACCCCGGGGTTGTGCAACCTCTGCCTTGCAAAGGCAGCCAAGGGTGGCTGGAGTCTTTGAGCCCTGCCGTAGAGGTGGCCAGTGCTGGCCCCAGGGAGCTCCCTGCGGGTCCTGTGGTCGTTCCATGGGGATGTGGCACACCATGGCTCCCAGGGGTGCTGTCCAGGATCCCCGTGACCACCACCACAGCTCTGAGCTTTGGGGCTCTGTTGCTCCTCCGAGGCCAAAGTCTCATGCAGAAGTGATCCCACTCTCAGCTGGGCTGGTGTTTGTCCCCTCCTCAGCTGCCTCAGCCTGACGAGCCCTGCTTCTGTCTCCACAGGATTGCCGACATGCCAGGCACCCTCAGACCAGCCCTGCTGCCACTGTCACTGCTGCCACTGCTGCTGCTGCACGTCCCACATGCCACCAGAGCCCAGGTCAACCCCGGTAAGTCACACAGGGACCAGGTGGCTGCAGGTGCCATCATTGCATTTCATTTCCTTGGGGTCTGCTCCTGCCAGATGGCCAAGTTTGCACTCGCATTGTCTCCATCATCTCTGGGAGCAGTATGTGGTGGCTCCCCAAACCTGCACCTGCCCGGTCACTCTGCTGTCCTGCACCTCACCTGGGCACCTGCAGTGACCTGCAGAGCCCCCTCTACTTGCCATGGGCACTGTCCTGCCCCTGGCAGCTGGCAGGGAGCTGGACATGGCAAATTTGGCACTACAGCCTGTGCTCTCAGTGGGGCCCTCGCCACGGGGGCTCCCTCAGCCTGGAGGCTGCCAGGTGCCAGGCTGTTGTTTTCTCTGCTGGGCTGTGCCTTCTCTGGTGGTTTTGCAGCAAAACCAGGCTAGCTTTGGGGAAGTGGCTTAACTGGGAGCCTGGCTCTGCTCAGAAACCACAACACTGCATGGCCAGCAGCACAGGCGTGTTCAGATGGATGTTCCTGCAGGGCTCAGCCCCATCCTGTGCTGCAGGGATGGACAGAGCCCAGCTTTTCCCAGGGTTTCCCCAAGGAGTCCCTTTAACAAATCCCTTCAAAAGCTTCTTCCATCCATGGGAGGAGTTAGCTGGGTCTTCCCTGGAGGTTGCCTGGTGCTTGTGGAGGCAATCCTGTTTCTCCTGCTGACAGAATTGGATTTGCCTGGCCAGGATTGCCATTACCAAGACAAAAAACCAAGGCTGGCTCCATGTTTGGCAAGAAGAATTAAATGGGAATTCAGTGGGAGCTGTGCTGTGGGAGAGTAGGAGACAAGAGGAGATGCTCCCACGTGCTCATCCCTCTGCCTGATGTGGAATATGAGTAGTGTCCCAGGGATGGTGGCACTATGGGACGTGGGTTCTTTGCCAGTGCAGTGCCAGGCGAGCCAGGGAAGGCTGGAGGTGGCCCAGGCACAGAATCCTGCCTGGTCCTTGGCACCCCGGTGCGGGTGTTTGCTCGGGGTGGTGTGTGGTGGGCTGGAGCCGGCAGCCAGACAGTAAACATGGCCAAACAAGCTGCCCTTTCAGCACTGCTCCTGGCAGCCAGGCGTGAAAAAATAACTGCTGGGAAGCAGCGAGGATGCGGCGCTGAGGGATTGCTGCTGCCCGGGGCTGCAGCCCGCCTGCCACCCCGGGTACTTTTCCACTCACAGCCAGGCTGGGACCAGGGCTGCTGGTGAGAGGTGGGCAGGGAGGACGAGAGCCTGTCTTGGTCACTTGTTCCCCAAGCAGGGACAGTGAGCAGCATGGCACAGTTGCTGCCAGTGAGGTTTCAGAGCAAGTGGCCTCTGGAGCATGGGGACAGCAGTGCCAGCTCGCAGGCTCTGCACCACAGCTGAGATCCTTGCCAGCAAGGCTGAGGAGATCCCTGGGGACAGGGCCTGGTGTGCCCATCAGCCCTTGGAGCCACCTCCCCTCCTTCACTTGGAGCTGGGCTGGCATCCACTGCTGGCCAGAGGCTGCGCTTGCTGGGGAAGGTCCTGCTTTGGCAGTACTGTCCCCTCCCTGCCTCGTCCCCTCTGTCAGCCACGGGGATGGGGAGGGCTGCCCTGGAGCACGGTGGATGTGCCCCAGCTCGGCCAGGGAGTCAGGGAGGGATGGATTCCCTCCAGCTGAGCACCGTGCCCGTGTCGTTGCAGCCGTGTGCCGGTACCCCTTGGGAATGTCGGGTGGGCACATCCCTGACGAGGACATCTCGGCCTCCAGCCACTGGTCTGACTCCACGGCTGCCAAGTACGGACGGTGAGTGTGAAGTAGCCACAGCAAGGTCCGGGCTGGCACAGAGGGAGCAGGGGGACACGGGGCTGGCCTCGGCCACCCACAAACAGCTCCTCTGCTCTGGGCTCGCAGGCTGGACTTGGAGGGTGGCGATGGAGCCTGGTGCCCCAAGACCCCCGTGGCACCAAATGACCTGAAGGAGTTCCTGCAGATCGACCTGCACGCCCTGCACTTCATCACGCTGGTGGGCACCCAGGGCCGCCACGCCAAGGGCCACGGCAATGAGTTTGCCCCCATGTATAAAATCAGCTACAGCCGGGATGGCACCCGCTGGATCTCCTGGAGGAACCGGCACGGGAAGCAGGTGAGGAGGCTCCGGGTGGGGGCTGCACTGGGTGGAGGGTGAGGAGGCTCCTCCTGCCCATCCCCACCGTGCTGCTCCCTCTCCAGGTGCTGGATGGAAACACCAACACCTACGACATCGTGCTCAAGGATCTGGAGCCGCCCCTGATCGCCCGCTTTGTCCGCTTCATCCCGGTCACCGACCACTCCATGAACGTGTGCCTGCGCGTGGAGCTCTACGGCTGTGTCTGGCTGGGTGGGTGGCACTCTCCTGTGCCTGTCCCCTTGTCCCCAATGCCCATCCCAGCATGCTGGCCATCCCAGTGGGGGCTGGCTGTCCCGCAGCACCGGGATTGGGGGTGTCCATGCGCTCACCCTTCCTCCCTGCAGATGGGCTGGTGTCCTACAACGCGCCAGTCGGGCAGCAGCTCGTCCTTCCCGGGGGCACCATCATCTACCTCAACGACTCGGTGTATGACGGGGCCTTTGGCTACAGGTGAGGGCTGGGAGCCACGCTGGGCAGCAGGCCAGGGGGGTGTTTGTTCCCTGCCTTGTCAGGCTGGTCCTCAACAGAGCAGTGTCCTTGAGGTGGGGGACATAGCCAGCCTGAGAAAGCTGCACACCATGAAGGGGATGTGTGGTGGGGGAGGCAGCCCCAGCCCTTCCCTTGGATTTGCTCTAGCTGCACCCCACAGCTTTTCCAGGGGGAACACCAGGAACAAAATCCCCCCCAAGTGTCCCATGAGGAGCTGCCAGGGCGTGCTGGGTGGTGCAGGTTGGTGGGGCTGGCCAGAGTCACACTCCTCCTGTCCCCTTGCAGCATGACAGAGGGCCTGGGCCAGCTGACAGACGGGGTGTCAGGGCTGGACGACTTCACTCAGACCCACGAGTACCACGTGTGGCCGGGCTATGACTACGTGGGCTGGCGCAACGAGAGCACGGCCGGCGGCTACGTGGAGATCACCTTCGAGTTCGACCGCATCAGGAACTTCACCGCCATGAAGGTCCCCACCCCCCTGCCCCGTGCCACCTCCCCGTGCCCCTCGGTGGCCCTGCTGACAGCCTGCCCCACAGGTCCACTGCAACAACATGTTCGCCAAAGGCGTCAAGATCTTCAAGGAGGTGCAGTGCTACTTCCGTGCCGACGCCAGCGAGTGGGAGCCCGGCGCTGTCTCCTCGGTGCTGGTGCTGGACGATGTGAACCCCAGCGCCCGTTTTGTCACCGTGCCCCTGCTGCACCGCATGGCCAGTGCCATCAAGTGCCAGTACTACTTCGCTGACACCTGGATGATGTTCAGTGAGATCACCTTCCAGTCAGGTACCCGTCGCTCCGTGGGGACGGGGCTCTCCTGGGTGGGAGGCTCAAGGAGATAGCGGGGCTGTGGGGCACCCACATCCCCACCCTGATGCTCTCTTCTCCCTGGCCAGATGCAGCCATGTACAACAACTCAGTGCCCCCTGCAGAGGCACCTGTGGTCCCCACCACTTATGGTAAGTGTGTCACCCTGTGCTGGCTGGGGGCTGTGCCCCATCCCACGGGGAAAGGGGCAGGGGGTCCCCCCACACCCACTGTGACTCCTCACTGTCCCCTTGTCCGGCTAGACCCCACACTAGACCTGATGCTAACCCTAACCCCTCCTCTGGCTAGACCCCACACTACACCTAACCCTAACTCTAACCCCTTCTCTGGCTAGACCCCAGACTAGGTGTAACCCTAACCCTGACCCCTTCTCTAGCTAGACCCAACACTAGACTTAACCCTAACACCTTCTCTAACTAGACCCCACACTAGACCTAACTCTAACCCCTTCTCTGGCCAGACCCCACGCTCAAGGTAGACGACAGCAACACGCGCATCCTGATCGGGTGCCTGGTGGCCATCATCTTCATCCTGGTGGCCATCATTGTCATCATACTGTGGCGGCAGTTCTGGCAGAAGATGCTGGAGAAGGTGGGCAAGCGTAGCGTGGCTGGTGAGGTGCCCTGTGGGGGTGGGCTCACTCTGGGCATGTTCTTCTGGGAGGAAACAGACTCCATGCAAGGCTGCTGCTCCCTTCCCCTCCTCAGAAAGGCTGTGCTTTCCAGCCATCTCCTAAGCAAGGGCACATAGCTGAGCAGGGTGGTGACTTTGGGGCTTGCCTGTTTGTCTGTCCCTCTGTCCTGAAGCTGCTCTGGGGAACAGAAGCCTGGGTGAGGAGGGTTCTCACCACACTAAGCAAGGTCACTCACACAGCTGATGAAGCCAAACCGTTCTCCATAGAGGCAAGGGGGAGCATGAGGACAAGCCCAGGCAGGTGTTGCAACCCAGGGTCCAGGCACTAGAGAGGAGGTTTGGGCAACCCCCTGGTGCCACGGAACAGGAGGCACGCCATCCTGCCCATGCTGTGGGGAACCCCAGCTCTCTCCTCCCTTGCCCCGCTGTCACAGGCATCACGGAGGATGCTGGACGATGAAATGACCGTCAGCCTCTCCCTGCCCAGCGAGTCCAGCATGTTCAACCACAACCGCTCCTCCTCCCCCAGCGAGCAGGAGTCCAGCTCCACCTACGACCGCATCTTCCCCCTGGGACCCGACTACCAGGAGCCCTCCCGCCTGATCCGCAAGCTGCCCGAGTTCACCTCGGGGGAGGAGGACACAGGTGAGAGCCAGGACACTGAGCCTGCTGCAGCCCCCTCTGCCCAGCCCCAGCTTTGGCCACTCTCTGAACATTTTGGCACAGAGGGGAGAGGTCTCACAAGCTCCCGTGCATCCCACACGAGGGTCACACAAAGGCTGTGTGAGAAGGTCTCCCACAACACTGATGTCCTCTGCCAGACTACACTGTGTCCCACTGTCACCCCTGGGATGCTGTGGAACCTCTTCCTCACCCATCTGGAGTCCAGGCACTGATCTCTGCTCGCCTGGAGCTCATGGCTTGGCGGGTGTGTTTGGTGGGGAAGGAGTGCAGGGCTCTGGGGTAGAAGGCACAGAGTGCGAGCAGCCAGCAGGGAGCAGAGGGTGCAGGGCAGCACACCCAGGCAGGGCTGGCCCCTGTGTGTCCCCCCAGGCTGCAGTGGCCCTGCCAAGTCCCAGGCCAGCGTCCCCGAGGGCGTCCCTCACTACGCCGAGGCAGACATCGTCAACCTGCAGGGCGTGACAGGCGGCAACACCTACTCAGTGCCAGCCCTCACCATGGACCTGCTCTCTGGAAAGGACGTGGCCGTCGAGGAGTTCCCCAGGAAGCTGCTGACCTTCAAGGAGAAGCTGGGGGAAGGCCAGTTTGGGGAGGTGAGTGGGAATGGGGCCTGCTCCCAATAGGACTCAGGAAAGCTCTTCCCAGCTCGTGGGCAGAGGGAATGGCTGCCCCTTGCTCCCCCAGGTTCACCTCTGTGAAGTGGAGGGCATGGAGAAGTTCACGGGGAAGGACTTGGCCCTGGAGGGCTTGGATGGCAGCTCTGACCACCCTGTGCTGGTGGCTGTGAAGATGCTGCGGGCAGATGCCAACAAGAATGCCAGGTAGGGGCTGAGGGGGGCACACAGCCCAGCACTGCCCCGTGCAGAGCTCACCAGGAGAGCTGGGGTGCTTGGACAGCATCCCCTGCCTCCATCCATCAGCTCAGTGCCACTGCTAGGACCACACACCTGAGCTCTCTGGGAATGCTGGGCTGTCCCGTGGCAGGATCCTTGGTCCTAACCAGCTCCCCAGAGCCCATGTCCCTGCTGAGCCCACCCTGCAGCCCATCTTCTCCACAGCTCCCTAAGCAGGCTAGGGCGGGTGGGTGGCACTCCTGGCCAGTGTGTGCTCACCTCCATGCCCCTCTGGGTCTGTCTGTCCGACCCGTGTGGTTTCTGTTCCGGAAAGGAATGATTTTCTGAAGGAAATCAAGATCATGTCACGGCTGAAGGACCCCAACATCATCCGGCTGCTGGCGGTGTGCATCACAGACGACCCCCTGTGCATGATCACCGAGTACATGGAGAATGGGGACCTCAACCAGTTCCTGTCCCGCCAGCAGGCAGGCGGCCCCTCTGCTGGCCACACACCCTCTGTCACGTAGGTGTCCTGGTTTGAAAGGCTGGTGTCTGCTAAGAAAGGCAGGAGACTCTCTTGAAATGGACAATGGAAACCCCCTCCCTCCAAATTACAATAATTTTGAAATTAAGGAGCCCTCAGGCAAAGATATGGGAATAGGAATAATTCCTTACTAGGGAAAAAAAAAAAAATACAGTAATACAAAAAACACCCCAAACCCTAAACAGTGCCAGAGTGAGAATCCAAGGACCCCCCGTCAGTCAGTCAGGGGTTGGTGCAGTCCCATTCAATGGTGGCTGCATCCTCCTGCAGTGACAGATGTGGTTCTGCTGGAGCAGTGCTCCTGCACAAGGTGCAGTTTTCCTCCAAAGCTCCAGTGATGATGTGGAAGGGTCTGGTTTTCCTCTGGAATCCAGTGGGAAAAAGCTGCTCTGATGTTCCAAATCTCAGCTTTGATCTGGGTAGGAAATGCTTGGCTCCTCCCCCTGGGTGGAGCATCTCCCAATGGGATGATGGAATTTTATCAGCCATGCCCTGGGACTCCATTGGCCATTAACAGGAGATATCTCCTGGAGGGAGGATGGGCTGTGGGAAAGATAAAGAACACTGCCCCAGCTGGATTAACAGATGGGATAGAACACAAACTGCTGGGCACATCCTGCATTGCAACCCAAGACAGTAGGGCTGCCTGGGAGATCAGGTGCCTGGGACACCTTGTCTGGATCCTCCTGGCTGCCGTCCTCCCTCCCTTCCCTCTGCTCATGGCCCGTGTGCCCACAGTGACCTGCGGTTCATGGCCACCCAGATCGCCTCGGGCATGAAGTACCTCTCATCCCTCAACTTCGTGCACCGGGACCTGGCCACGCGCAACTGCCTGGTGGGGAAGCACTACACCATCAAGATCGCCGACTTTGGGATGAGCAGGAACCTCTACAGCGGCGACTACTACCGCATCCAGGGCCGGGCGGTGCTCCCCATCCGCTGGATGTCCTGGGAGAGCATCCTGCTGGTACACGGGGCTGGGTTCCTCTGGCAGGCACTGATACAGCTCTGGGGGTGCTCACTGCGCTGCTTCCTTGGGCTGGGGCGTGCGGGGGGGATGGAGAGGTTTCTGCTCACTGCAGCCCAGATTTGGGGTGAAGTGTGGGGAAAGCAGCTCTTTGAAGCAGGCTGTGGTGATTTTTGATGTCCCAGTGCAGGACATCCTTTAAGCAGGATGCTTGGCATTTTATCCTGGCCACGGTCAGAGCTGGAAGAGGGAGCAGTGCTGGTCTTTACCTTTGTAGGGAGCTGGGTGTGTGGCAAGCCCCAGCTCTCAGAGCAGTCACTGCCAGCCAGACCTGCAGCTCCCCAGGCTCTGGCCCCAGGCAGAAAGCAGATCTGCAGGGCCAGATCTGGATGCTGAAGTCCAGAAGGAGGTTTTGATCCCCGAGCACCTGCAGCTTCTGGAGCAGGATGGGGTAAAGCCCAGGCCTGACCCTGCTCTGCTCCCTCTGGCCAGGGCAAGTTCACCACGGCCAGCGACGTGTGGGCGTTTGGGGTGACGCTGTGGGAGACCTTCACCCTGTGCCGGGAGCAGCCCTACTCACACATGTCTGACGAGCAGGTCATCGAAAACACCGGGGAGTTCTTCCGCGACCAGGGCCGGCAGGTGGGGACGGGACGGGATCCATGGGATCCATGGGATCCACAGGATGGGGTTGGATAGGATGGGACCAATGGAATGGGACAGGATGGGATGGGATCGATGGAATGGGATGGGATCCATTGGATGGGATGGGGTGGGACAGGATGAGATTGATGGGATGGGGTGGGATCAATGGGACGGGATGGGATGGGATGGGATGGGACAAGATAGGATGGGACAAGATGGGACAAGAAGGCCAGTGGTGCACCTGGGACCTGGAGAGAGACTTTAGGATGACCAGATAGGGAGCTTGGCTGTGAGGCAGCTGTGGGACAGGAACTCCTCTGGGAAGGAATCCTAGCGAAGGGCCCACCATGGCAAACCCTGCACTTTACACAGCCCGAGGCACTGCTTGCTCCCTGACCCCACTGCAGCATTTAGGGTCGGGGGACAGAGGCAGGTGCCATATGGGGATCACCTTGCCCCTGGGCCATGGGGATATGGGGCACCCTGAGACATGAGGCTCTCCAGGAGCAGTTTGCATGCTTTCTGTGGCAGTGATTCTCTCTTTGCCATTTTTGCCCTTTGTTTTGCAGACCTACCTTCCCCAGCCCGTGCTATGCCCTGACTCAGTCTATAAGCTAATGCTCAGCTGCTGGAGACGGGACACCAAAGACCGTCCCTCCTTCCAGGACATCCACCGCCTTCTCCAGGACTCAGCCAGAGAAGAATGACCCTTGGCTCCCGCCTGTCCTGGTCCCCATCCTTCCCTGTCCCCGGAGGAGCCCCATGTGCAAACAGAAGCCACTTCACTCGGACTTAGCCAAACATCCTGAGCAGCTGCTCGTGTTCTCACAGTGCAGTGAGGCCTCAGAGGAGACCCCAAGGACACAAACCCCACGGCGTGGACGGCTCAGACCTCCTGCTTCCCTGCAGACCCGAGCCTGGGAGCAGCACGGGCTGGGGGGAGGGTTATTTATTGAAGCAGTGTGTTCTGGTGCCAAGGACTGGGACAGAGCAGCTTCTCTTCCCCGGCTGGAGGGGATGAGCTTCAGCTGGACCTGGGTGAGGAAACTCTGCCCACAGACAGGGCAGGTGCTCTGGGGAAGGGATGTGTGCCCAGCAGCCAGAACCTGCCTCAGGAGGAGCTGGGAGCTCCACCCGCTCTTAGCGGGCTGTGCATGGGTGAAACAAAGACTCCACGGACATTTGGGGCTTTGGACAATGTCACAATGCCACATGGAGAGGCAGGAAGAGCCCTCCCAGCTGCTCAGGGAGAAGCCTGAGGGCTCTCCTGGCACCTCACCCAGCTGCTGGAGTGTGCAGCCAGGGAGGAGTGGGCGTCCTGTGCCAAGGGGACATTCCCTCACCGACCACAGCTACTCCAGGGCAGCTCAAGTGCCCAGGAAATTCATTTTGGATGCCCCACGGGTGATGCAGCAGGATGGTAGCACCTTTTACTTCCATGGGGAAACTCCAGGTCCTCCTCCCCTAGGGCTATCCCTGGATCTTCATCTGCCAGTAGAGGAATGCACGTAGCAGAGTTTCACTGGCAGCTGCCTGATGCCCATGCCTGCACCGACCCCACGGCCATGGAGCAGGGCACTGCAGCTCTCCCTGGCCCTCAGCCTGGGATCACAGCTCAGCTGAAGCACCTGGGCTGGGTTCTGCCACCCCTAGCATCCCGCAGCATCTGGTACCCATCCGTCCTCCCGGAGCTGGCAGCACCCTGGGCGAGCTGGGCAGGTGCCAAAGCCGTGTGCCCCGGCAGGTTGTACCCACCACGCCCCAAACTCAGACCCTCCTGAGGGTGGACAGGAGGAACTGTGGACTCGGGGGGTTCCAGGGACCCCTCCATACTTTGTACACAGTAGTTCAGCACGGTTCCCAATACCCCATGGCTAAGGCATGTGTATATTCAGTAGATGCACCTGTGTGTAGGGGCAAACCCGCTGAAGAGACACTCGGTCCGTGAGCCTGCCTGCCTCCTTCCCTTGTCTCGCCTCTGCAGCAGCTCAGCTCGCCTCCCCCCGGGGCTGGGGGCTCTGCAGCTGCACTGTGTGCTGGGATGTGGTGTGGGAGCACGGGAAAACAGCCTGAGAGCTGGAGCAAGGGAGATAAGAGACCAGCTGGCTGAGCCACACGAGCTGTGCATCCTGAGGGGGGAGCAAGGATCATCTGGGTCTCAGCATCCATCAGGACACGGCCAGCAGCAGGGCCGGGGCAGCACCGAGGGGCTGGGACAAGGGAGGGCAGGGATGGGGGCTGTGCCCCACAGAGAGGGGAGGGCGGCGATAGGGGGCTGTGCCCCACAGAGGGTGGCAGAGAGGAGAATGGGGAATGGGAATAGGGAAGGCAGTATGAGTGGGAATGTGAAAGGAATGGGAAAGGAAAGGAAAAGGAAAGGGACAGCGAGGACATCCAACCCTCTCCGCGCAGGGGGCGTGGCCTCTGCAGAACGGGCGTGGCCAACGTCACGTGAGCACAGCCGCGGTTTGTGGGCGTGGCATCGTCACCGGGGCGTGTCCCTGGGCGTGGTCAATGGGGCGCGTCACTGTGGCCCCGCCCCCCGCCCTCGGCTCACCATCACGCCACCGCCTGCGCTGGCCCCGCCCCCCTGCCGCGCTCTGATTGGCTGCGAGGGCCGGTCGGGGCGGGGCCGGGCGCGCGCAGCTCTTATAGCGGCGGTGAGGGCGGCGGGCACGGGCAGACATGGAGCGCGTGGTGCTGGTGACCGGTGCGAGCGGGTGAGTGACATTGCCGAGCGCTGCGACACACTGTCGGGCACACACTGCCGGGTAGTGCCAGACACTGTGGGGCACTGCCGGACACCGCTGGGCTCCACCGGAGGGCTGGGAGGGGTGGGCTGGCGTGGCCTGGCCTGGGTAGGGCTCTCTGTCTGACCCCGTCCCGTTGCAGCGGCGTGGGGTTGGCGCTGTGCCAGCGGCTGCTGGAGGAGGATGGCCGCATCCACCTGTGCATCGCCTGCCGCAACGAGCAGAAGAGCGAAGCCACGCGCGACCTCATCCTGGCCACCCATCCCGCCGCGCAGGTGTCCACCGTGGAGGTGGACCTGGGCAACCTGGCCTCCATCCTGCGGGCCGCCCGGGAGCTCCGCTGCAGGTACGGGATCTGCCCCCCGTCACACCTCGGGCACCCCTGACCCGCTCCAACCCCGGCTCCTGTGCCTTCCTCCCGCAGGTTTCAGCGCCTGGACTTTGTGTACCTGAACGCCGGTATCATGCCCAACCCGCACGTGAACTTCAAGGCTCTGTGGCACGGGCTCCTCACCGGGTAGGAGATGCTCCGGGCCCCGCTTGTGGGACACACGGGGGGCTGGCATCGTCAGGATGTGCCCCTGGCTCCATCTCCTATTCCCTGGCGTGAGATAGAGCACTCTCTGTGGGATGCACTCCTCTCTGTAGGGTGGGTTGGGCGGCTGAGTGCCCTGCTGGGGTAGTCCAAGGTGTCCAGTGCCACTCCTGATGCCGGGTGTGGGGTGGTCCCAGGTGCCCAGAGCCGCTCCTGATCCCAGGTGTGAGCCCTGCTGGGTGTGTGGGGAGGGCAGGAAGTCACCCAAAGCCCACAGCCACCACATGAGAAATGTGGCTGTGTTGAAGTCTGGGTCTGTTTGCTGTTGTTGTGATGCCACTGTAGGGTTTTGTAGCTGTTCATAGCTGTGGGTCACAGTATTTTATGAAGCTCATGCTGTTGGTAGGAGCATGGTTACCCATGGGGAAGCTGAGCTGAGGGGCACAGTGGCTTGTGTCGAGTCTAACGGAGGTGTTGGGATGCTGAGCACTGGTGCCAGACTGGTTTCCTTGCCTGCATTCGGTATGGCCCAAGGGCTTGGCTCCATGCTGGAGCTGGATTAAATTATCTGAGCGTGAAATGAGGGAAGGAGATCCTTTTACTGTGGGAAGGTGAAGGAAGGGACAAGTCTTCTCTGGCCTGGTCAGTATTGAGACACTTGTAAATGAAGGACCTGGGATACTCTGCAGACCTTTCCCATCTATTTTTTCCATGGTTTGATATTGCCCTTGGAGGTGAAGGTGGGGGGGTTCTGCTGAAGTGGGGAGTGGTGGATCCACTGGCAGTGTGGATTCCTCACTAACTCCTGTTCCTGGCTTCCAGGAAGGTGCTCCACATGCTGACCACTGCAGAAGGCATCATGACCCAGACTGACAGGCTGAATGGAGATGGGCTTCAGGAGGTGTTTGCCACCAACCTCTTTGGACACTTCATGCTGGTGAGGCCTCATGTGAAGACTGGACCCTCAGTCTGATGTTTGGTGTGGGTAGGGATGGTCTGGGCTGGACAGGTCTCACAGATTCAGGTGCTGATGGAGGCTGCAGCAGCAGATAATCAAAAGAACGACAGGGAAAAGGCCTTGACATTTGTTTCAATGGTGACTTTTGTTGCAAGAATTAATGTAATTTTGAGGTTACCTCTGTGACCTGCACACAGAAGTCAATCACACATAGTTCTCCATTCAGGGTAAATACTAAGGCTTGTCTGTATTAAATTCTGAAGTGCTCAGCTGAGCTGTCCAGCAGAATGACAGCTGCTTGTACAAGTATCTGCTTTTGGCTGGTCTAGGAGAAGCTGGCTGAGAAAGCTGAGAGAAGCTCACAGCCTCAGGTGCTGTAAAGTTATACCCTAAGAATGAGACACTGCTGTGTTAAATAAGTTAACGACTCTCTTTTTTTTTTTTTTCCAGGTCCGTCAGCTTCAGTCTCTGCTGTGTGGAAAGGAGAAGCCCTCCCGACTCATCTGGACCTCCTCCAGCAATGCCAGGGAGTCTGCCTTCAGCCTCTCTGACTACCAGCATGCCAAGGGGCAGGAATCATACAGTTCCTCCAAATATGCTACTGACCTGACAAGTGTGGTTCTGAACAGGAAATTTAATGGCCAGGTGATGATGGGGTTTGTGCTGCTGCAGAAACCTACTGATTACTCTTGAATTACTGTTTGTAATTATCATGGCATTGTTGTTACCTGGTTGCATTCGTTCACTCATAGCAATCTGGTGCGTTCCTAAATGCACAGGTAAGAGCTAAACATGGCTGAGCTTGAGCTGGTGGTGTAGGAGGTGGAGAATCTGCCAGAGAGACTGACAGGTTCTGGAGTTCTGGCCAGAAAAACTTCCCAGTGGGGGATTTCAGGAGTGCTTCTTACCTTGTGAGCTCTTCTCTCTAGATCAGAACTGATGTTAAAGAGCAAAGAGCCTCTGCTTTTTTCAGGTGTCCTTGCCTGCCAGCACAGGGTTGCCTGCAAGCTGCAGGCTCAGGTTTGTCACAGTGGGCTGTACAAGCGACCTGCCTTCCCCGTCCCGGGGCACTGATGGATTTTGTTGGCAGCTGCAGCTCTGGTCCAGCAGTAGTGGCTGTGCCCTTCTCAATCACTCCCAGATTAAATGGTTTAGTCTCAACAGGCTGAGCTCTTATATCTTAAAGAAGAGGTAGCCTTTGGTCAGAGTGGGCTGTAATTTGTGGGATATCTGCTGTGGCTGCTGAGCTGCATGGAGATTGCACCAGGAGGCTGCACTTTCTACCCTGGGGGTTTGGAATGGGCATAGATTTAACACGAACATTTCCAATTTGGACCTCTTAAAAAGCACTCCATCTAATTGCAGTCTGCTCTGGTACTTAGTGGAGCATTACTGTCTGTCCACACCCTCTCCTGCTGGGGAGTACTGGGAGGGAAGGAGTGTGACCTATTCTTTTCAGTGTGGTGCAATTGCACCCTGACATGATTTCTTTCTGCAGGGTCTGTATTCCAGTGTTGTTTGTCCTGGGCTCGTTATGTCCAACATGACCTATGGAATTCTCCCCGTTTTCCTGTGGAAGCTGCTCATGCCCATCATGTGGTTGGTGAGTGGATGAATGTCCTGGCTGGTTTTGGGCTGTGACACACTTCACTGTGAGTGATGTATAGCTCACTTCTGGCTCCTTGCTGCCTGTGTTGGGATAGATTTTGTCCTTCTGTTGGGCTGGGCAGGCTGCACCCTCTGCAAACCTTCCCTTTCTCCTCCTGGGGCCCCAGTTTCCAAGCTGAGTTTGGAGGTTTGGTGCTGGACTCTGTGCAGAGGGGCAGGGTTCAGCCCTTCAGCCACAGCAGTGTTTGTCAAGGCTCCCCTTGGAAGGTTTGCCAGTTCTGCCTGGGCTTGTGAAACACCATGAGCTTGCTGCCAGCAGAGCTCAAGATGTGGCCCCAGCCTGGCCCCTGTGCTTTGAGATGCTGTTCATTTCTAGAACAACCTGTTTTTCAGTGTTGTTCTTTCCATTCCTCTAGAAGGCAGTGTTGCTTTTTAAATTCCAACCCTATGGAAAGCAAAGCCTCCTGCTCTCTATTGCCTCTCCCCCTGCTTCCCCAAAAGTTTCCTTGCCTTTCTTCCTCTGGCCCTCAGCTTTCATTGCAATTCTGTCCCTGA